TTGTCATTAACTTCACCCTCTGCCCTTGTCTCTTGCAGATATTCCATCTATATGTTCGTGGCTTGTCAAGTTGAAATCAATTTAAATTCTTTAAGTTGGATTGCGAACGGTAAGCTAAGGTGACATTGGTGAATTACGTATCTATTGATTCAATTGTATTGGGTAAGTAAGTGCGTAATGTTGTGTAAATCTAACTATATGAATTTGCTATTTTTTAGACTTATAACTATATTAATAAACGCTTCATTTAATTTCTAAAATAAGCGTCAAGGTTGACAAGAGGTCGTTACTAAAACGATCGGTTCATTATATTTTATAACATTGTAAAAATCAAAACCATTCTTAGTATATATGTTGGTATGTCCTTACTATATCTATATTTCGGTATACAACTAAAAATGTATTGTACTAGTACTTTTTAGTTCTACATCATTTGTGAAGCAGCAATAATCTAAACCAAGACAGTTAAATTAAGAGATCAAGTAGAAGTGATAGATGGAAAAAATATAACAAGTACGTAAGTAGGTACGTATTGCGCCGACCCTAAATAATTTGGGACAGGGAGAAATTAGGGAAATAAGGCCTCGGGAAAGATGAATATCGTTTTTTTTTTTCATTCATTCATATTATATGGTGCTCCTGGGAGCTGTAGTATGTATGCAGTTATGGAGATAGATATAGAGTCTTGCGCTAAGAGGTAAAGAAGATTAAACGAGAAATTAAATTTTATAAAAATTGAAAATTGTAATTATATTTCAGACTTTCGAGAAATTCGTGTATTCGTTTTAGTAACTAAAAATAGGGATGTTTAAATAAACGTGTTTCAAAATTTTGAAATCAGGTTAAACTAAAAGCTACTATCTCGCTGTTTACTAATGATATCCATATTGAATCAAATCTAACTTCAACAATGGCATACACCATAATACCTTGCCAAGCTAAAACACATTCCCATTTCTAGAACAAATATATTATCGCTGCACCAATATTGTGTGAATCGAAACAGAATCAAAGAGCTTTGTGCTTAGCAGCGAATGCCTCACTCTCCTTTGAATTAGGTTAGAAGGATATTTGTGCATTTTATTCATGCATCATATACTCGCTTTTGTGCGAATGTGTTATCGAACTTGCTGACTGAAGTGGTAGTAAAAGAATTTTCTAGAAATCTTATGAAGTGTGATAAATTGCAAGTATATGCTGGAAAATCCTTACGAAATCGAAATTGAAATGTGTTACGGTTGTGAACTTTATTAATAAAACATGTATTTCGCGTTAATTTATTATCTTTAATGTTTACTCCTTGTTTTTTAAAAGAAGGTTAAAAGCATTTTCGATTTTATAAGTCTTTGAGAAGTGAAGCACTCATCCTTATAATCATTAAACGTTATTTGTAATTTAAAACTAAAATAATCAATACACATGACTGCAATGCTTTCAAACATCTGAGTACTGAATTGTAACAAATGAAGCAGAATAATTCATCGAAATTGTGGACCCACTACTTTTACACTCGATTTATCTTCATCTCACTGAAACAATTTGGATCTAAAGGATAGCCAACTATTAGTTTTAGGCAGTTCTTTTGTTTTGGAAATTGTAAGAAAACTGCGAATGCTGTGTTAAAGCTAAAAAGGGAAAGGTTGCTCATGTAATATAAATAAAGACATTATATAACGAACCAAAATTACATGAAATAGTTGGTAACCATAGTGTTAATAAAAATAAGCTTTTTTAAGGGGAGATAAACATCGAATGACTTTTCCCGCCTGGATGAGATGAAAAGGAGTGTCTGCCTCTTAATGACTAAAAACCACGCTGTTCCTACTCCTGCACTTCGAGACGGAGCCCCGGCAACCCGTTAAGTCCTCCACGGCAACAATAATAAGCATCATGTCGAATTCGAGCAACCTTTCATCTACCCATCGTACTAAACAATAAGAAATAAATACTGAAAGAAAACATTGATAAACAAAACTATTGAACAAAATAATATTTGTGTAGTGAAACATAATACGATTGGTGTTCCAGCGATAAAAACGTATCAAACTAATACCACCTTCTTAACGCCCTAAGTAATGAACAAAACATAATTCGACGAAACACTTCACCTATCACGCGAACATTAATATTAATTCCATAATAAAGAGGAAACATGTTAAATGAAAAACATTTTTTCATTCATTTTGTTTTTATTTTCAACACCGTTTTGACTAACTAAAAGTCGCGGGTTACTCACGTGAATATACTGATTTAAAAAAAACTCCAAAACAAAGTCGTGCAGCCTACAGTAGGCTATAGTAGGCTGCGCGACATCGCTGCGACCGCGCACGCTGCACATTAAGAAGAGCTCCTCTGTAGCTCGAAACTAGTAGAGCTTTCTCAGTATGTGAGTAACCCGCGATTTTTAGTTAATTTAATATATCTCATAATAGTTATTATAAAAAAAACTTTTTTGTTTTGTTAAAGAAATTATTAGACAAGTAGATTGTGTGAGGGAATATATAAAAGACTAGCCACCCACTCTGCTTGGCTCCTATTGATCGTAACGTAATGTTTTAGCCTACAGCCTTTCTCAATAAATGGACCATTCAACACAAAAAGTTCAATTCAGACCAGTAATTACTGAGATTAGCACTTTCAAATAAACAAACGCTTCAGTTTTATATAACAAACAATTAAGTGCAATGATGTAATATAACGGAGATATATGATAACGAGGATTTGTGATAAGAAGGAGCAATTTGATAAAAGCATATAATATTAAATAAATGGTTGTTAAAATGTCGTGGTGGCCCGAAGGTTTAAGAAGTCCACTTCTCATGCATGAGAGGACAGGTTCGAAACCTACCAACAGCAAGTACCAATGTGAATATCTTTTCCGAGTTATGTATAATATACATTCTAAGATTATCTAGACACTATTGACAAACGGTGAAGGAAAATATCGTGAGGAAACCTAGGCTTATAATTTCTAATTATAAGTTTGTAATCGCCAACCCGCATTGAGCAAGCGTGGTGATTAATGCTCAAACCTTCTCCGTGTGAGAAGAGGCTTTGTTCAGCAGTGGGTATTTATAAGCTGTTGATGATGATATAAATGAATACGCGTCAACACCAAGACATGAAATAAAGACAGGAAAATAAGTATTAATAAAAAATACTTCAAATACACACAAAGACAGTTTCATAAATGATACTTTTTACAGTAAATTAATCTTTATTGTATACGAATAAGACACAAACTTATAGCTTACAAAATCATTCAATCATATCAAAGAACGAAAAGCTTGCAACTGACACGTTACAGCACAGATGTTTCGAGAAAGTTCTTCAAAGCCGTATACATAACTGACCTAAAATTGTACCAGAAAAGGTTAGGTAAATGCTAACACCGAACAGAAGCATTTGGCATTTTAGCATAACATCAGTAACCTTCATGATATTTTGAAACGGTCCCTTAGAATGGACGCGAAAATATGGCGCATTTTGTATAATGGATATGGGATTTCAAGGTCGCGTATTAGGTATAACAATTTAGTACGAAACGTCTATTTTTGTTCATATCCATTACATAGCATCGCGCCTTTTATCCCCGAAGTGGTATGCAGAGGTGCACATTACGGCATTTAATGCTACTGTAAAATGTAACACCCACTTTTCACTATTTATGAGTCCCATGTAATAAGGGGTGAGCCTTTGCCATACACCGGGCACAATTAAAGACTCCGTGCAACTACTGAGACAAAAAAAAACAGTAGTACTTTACCCGACCCGGGAATCAAACCCGAGACTTCTTGCTCGGCAGTCGCACTTGCGAGCACTCGGAGAACGAGGCATATTTTGTATGATAGATATGGGAATACAAGGTCGCATATTAGGTATAACAATTCAGTACGAAACATACATTTTTGTTTATAACCGATCTGGTATATTCGTTGTAAACATGATTTGAACGTATTTCTATAAAAAAATCTTAGTTTTAGGGAGCTTACTGTCTCTGATCTCACTTAAAACTGATGAAACTACCAAACCAAATGATTTTTACTTGTGACTTCCAATGTATTCTCTACTGTGATTACAAAACATGAATTCATAGCTTTTTTAAATATCTTACTATCCACGTTAACACAAGTGTATGCATTCAAAAACGATAAGCCTACAAACGAGTGATCATTAGTAGGCCGTCTATTGTTTATGAAGGATGCAAGCATTCGTCAAATGTAACGTGGGCAATCACCCTAATCTAATCTCCAATATTACATTGAAAGTTAATATTGACAATATTGATTGATATAATTCGATTATAATAGATTTATTATGTATCGTATACCATATTATGTTCCGTAGCAAATACCATACAAGAGAGATTCCTATTCAAACGACTTGTATTGTTCACCCTCTGTATAGAATAGGGATTATTCTTATACCTCTAATACGTTGTGATATTACATATTCACCTACAGTTATAATCCATGATAATCTATAGATAAGCGATTTTGTGCTCTATTGCAAGATCAACGGCCGTGAATAACCTTTAGTTGATTAGAGAACACAAAGATTAAAATTGTATACGGTCAAGAATGTGTTATTTAGCTAGGTACCTAATCGTAAAAGAAAATGTTCACGACAAAGACGTATTATTGTTAAAAATTTTAGTTTCGTAAACTTTACAAACATTCTTAATTCGACAAGTTTTTTTTTTTAATTTTTAATTGGATACGAAAAGATAGTTCAGTCTTAGAAAGAAAATGATATAATACGTTAAAGGAGGCAAACTGTGCCTCTTGGAAAGTTCAAATAGAATTTTAACTAGAACTATGAATAATGTATAATTTGGCTCAAACTGTCAATTTTCATTAGCTGTAATCTGAAACTTATCCCAAGGAACATACTCGTGGGAGTAATGGTTCAGAGAAAAGCCCAACTAAATTTAACATATTTTGTATATTCTATGTAAGCAGAGAAACACGTTGTACATTCGATATATAAATAGTTCTTACCTTGTGTTGGTGTGTGAAAAATCAATATCAATTAGTCTTCGTTGTCGTTAACTTCGACAGGAGTACGGACTCACTGCATAGATATGTTCGCGTTACATATATTTACACAAAGCACTACACTTAAGCCTTTAAGTATAATATCCAGAACTTTGGTCCTCGAACCAGATACACAATACTCTTAGAAAATATTTACAATTACAAGATATGAAGGATTGATATCAGCAGTTGCTAATAAGTCACTTTTTTGGACCGAAGGGTAGAGTCTAAAGCGGGAAACTAAGCTATTACTATAATATTTGGCTATGTTTGGAATTAATGCACATACACACGGTTCGGGCGACGAAAATAAACTTTGTACAACGAAAATCACAAACGCATTCACTTACGATCGAGCGATCGGAATCTAAGTTTAATTTTACTGAACAAAAGTTGGATACTGTTTCGAGAAAAAACGGGATAACTTTTAATTCACTCTCGCAACTTCAATTCAGCAAGCAAAATAAAACGTCCGTACGAAATGCGGTTCAGATATCGCGGCAAGTTGGGGGCGGCGTGGCTTCACGTCCGCGCGCCCTGCCGCTCAAACGCGGACTGAAAGCTTTCCTGACGTTCCTGAAGCCGGTGCACGATTGAAAAAGCTCACCATATTTTCAATATTCCCATATGTGTGAAAGAGATGATGCTATATTTCTCAGTGTAGTGTCAAACGCCATGCTCGAATAGCGACTTTCAAAAGGAAATATGGAGGTGTTCGTATCAAAATAAACATGCAACGGTTGTCTGGTTTTGGTAGGTCAGACGCGTAGGAAATGTTTGAAGACAATACTTATTAAGTTAATTTTATAACATTGTGCAATACAAATAAACTGATAAGAAACTTGCAAAAGTTATAAAAGTTTAAGATATTTTAATTAGGTTGTAAAATTATGGCTGTATGTAATTTGTTGCTACAATCGAGCATGTTATTTGTTACTTAGCAATTACGTATACCTATTAAGAATTTATACGCGAAAATTGGATATTTTCCTCAGTCAAAAATAAATTACAATTTCATTCATATATTTGTCGATATACTTAATTTTCGATTTATTCTAGCATATTTTTTTTTCAGAAATAAGTGTGCTGTTTGACTCGAAAATATGATGACGTCATAAGTTAGATTTTGGTACAAAATTCATAAAACAATATCGTTTTTGACGTTTCGACAAAAGTATTGAATTTGATTAGTTATAAAATACCATATTACGAACAAAAAAGCATTCTGAATTTCTTAACTGCATATAGTATCTCAAATTAAAATTTATATCTATATAATAACCGCTAATGTTATACCATCTTCAGCGATTATGAAAAAGTTGTGATATTTTATTTTTGTCCTCTACGAATAACAATTAATCAAGTGATTCTCTAGAGTACTTGGAAAATGTAATAGTCAAGTAATGTAAAGTACATAAAGTAATGTAAAGGGTACGATGGGGCTGACATATCTGTGATAAAAGCCCCTAAAAGTTTTTAGATTTAAAAAAATCTCAAATTATATGTCAGCCTCACCCGGGCGGGAGAAGTCATTAGATGATTTTCCCACCTCAATAAAATAAATAAAGTCTACCATGTTCATGTAGAAAGACTTGGGCTCTAATAGTTGTTGATACAACGTTGGCATCGTAAAAGTCTACAATGAAAACTAAAATACTATTTTAGGTCAAAACAACAAAGAAACCTAGATTAATTGGACATGTAACAAAATTGTTATCATTTCAAAGGAATACACGGAAATAATGAAGACAACTAACAGTATTAGTAGATTAATCTTGACTATCGCATTAAAGAACACGCTAGCCTCAATTTCAAGCGAGTAAACCAATTATAATAAGTAGGCCATTGCTTACATGTAAACCTACACTATAAATGGATTAAAACGCTTTTGAACACAAATTTTGGGCAGATCTTTAATTTTCCGGAAAGTGGTTGATAATTTATGACCTCTAAAAGTATGAGTTATGTCAAATATACTGCGCTTGGAGGAAATTGTGACGTTTCTTGCAAACTATAGTTTAAATTTTTGTAATGAATCATTTAACACTAGGAACTATATTAATTAAATGATCGTTTTTACTTGAATATAAATCTAGTAGTTTGGGAATAAATACGAAAAAACCCGATAACTCGTCAAACACATCATGTTTTAAAAAAGTAATAACAATCACAAAAGTAATTTTGCATCTGTGGTAATTGTTTTTTTTCAAAAAGTAACTTTAAATTGAATTATTATTTTGCTGAAAATCTATTTAAATTCGTCAAAGTTTTTCAATTATTTTCTCCCCACAAATCCAACACACGTCGCCGTCCCCCTCACATCTCATATGAAAACCTTTTCGTGTGATATTGCATAATCACAAAGTTTGTTCTAAAATAATAATGAACTATGTTTAATAATAATGCTTTTAATCTGTTTACATAGTCGTGGAGAACCTAATGGGTTACCGGGCTCGACGTGCAGGAGAACACTCCCTCCCGCCTCACCCAGGCGGGAGCAGTCATTTAATAATTTTTCCCCGCTTAAAAAAAAGCTGTTTACATAGTTCATGTTATTACATTTTCATTTCCATAGGTAATGTTATGAAAATACATTGACTAAAATCAGGTTGGTTACTGCTGAAAATTATAACTAAGAATGATAAGGAAATGCGATGATAACATCTATGTTTTGTTTTTGATTCCAGGTCTAATATATTTTTAAATTTGATTAAAAAGCTGGAAATACAATCGACTCGTATTACAAGACCAATAATGACTTAAAAGCAAAGTTGTTTCAGAGAACAATACACATGTTGCAATATTACAAATGTTTTACTAGTCTATCCGGTTTTTTTTTAATTCATGATTTGTTTAAAGAAAGAAAGAAATCATTTATTTGCTAATAATGTAGGTATACATATAAGTTGCAACAGTATTTAGAAAACTAAGATGTGTAGAGAGTAAACTCCAGGTTTCGATAGAAGATCACGTGCCGGCTCTATAGGGAGTCTTACTAATCATCCTAATGTAAATTCAGATTAAACGCTTTTAAAACAGGTCTATCTAGATCCTACCCTAGGGATTTAATGTTATCTGAATTTGCTGGTTATCAGGTTTTAATTAAAGTTTTAATTACTCTAATTTGTTAAGGTAATTATTAAAACTGCAATGTAGTTTTCGTTTGATTTGCTTTACAAGATTTTAAAGCTGTTTCTCTTTAAAAGCAATTATGCTTTAAACAAACATAATATTTCTCATACTCAAAATATTCTTTTTTTACGCAAACATCTTCGACAAACCTTTGAATCCGAAAATCTAACTAAGACATATTATCTACGATTACCTCGTTGGACGAGTGGTCGCAAGTGCGACTGCTGGGCAATGGGTCTCGGGTTGGATTCCCGGGTCGGGCAAAGTAATACTGGGTTTTAAAAAAAATCTCAGTAGTAGCACGGAGTCTGGAATTGTGCGCCCGGTATATGGCAATAGGCTCACCCCCTATTACATGGAACTCATAACATAAATAGGGAAAAGTGGGTGTCACTTTGTACAGTGGCATAATGTGCACATATTAATATGCCTACCCCTTCGGGGATAAAACGCGTGATGTTATGTTACATATTATCTAGTAGTAGCTTACGTTAACCGAAGCAGAGTGCCACTTCAGAATTTTCTTTAATAACAAGATCTGAACTTTTTAGTTGCCATATTTTTATACGCTTAATAATTTTTTATGTGATTACTTCAATGCTAAAGCTGAGGCCAGTCAAAATACATAATTTTACAACTTCCCGACATCACAGACGGTAACAATAAAAGTCAAAAAGTTCCCGTAACAAGCAAAGAGTCTTGCACGTGGTCCCAACTTTTTTCATTTACGTAATAAGAACCGTTTAAGATGAGTTTAAGTAATTTGAGTTTTATGATAATATGTATAAAGTTTCGTTTGACTAATTAATTTGCTTTGTCAAACGTTGTGTAATGTAGATAACCCTGGGCAGAGAAAGGTTGACTTTGTTACATTTTACTTCGGCGAGGAGAGAACAGATTGACGTGACAAAATGGACCCTTTTTTGGGCCGTTCATTAATAATTAGGTAGTCGGCTAATTTTATAAAGTTGTTTTGTTACGACAATATTAAAACATAAAAAGTGATTTTAACAGCCGAGAAAATTTACTGGCTTTTCACTTTTCTGTGGGAAAAGTTTGGAGTAATATTTTGATAAGTTCGGAGTTTATTTAACATTTGAACTTTGTGGGGTGATTTAGGGAAGGTCGAGGGCATTGAATTGAATATCAAATACTTTCATGTTATTTATTGATTTACTGGAATATAATGATCGGTAATTTAATTTATAGTTTATCTTAAAATCAAGTAGTATTTGGATGTACTGACCAACTTTCAAAGCTCGCAAGAGTAACACACATCCCCTCAATCTATAACGTCTCATAAAAAAAACAGAAAAATACTAACCCTTTAAAATATTAACCACACTAAACAACAACGATGACTAAGCATTAAGCCAAACACCTCGAAGCAAATAACCAAACAACCTAACAGTCCCACTTTTGTCGCAGTACAAAAATCTTCACACCCATAAAATTCCAGCTAATCTCAGACTACAATTCATTGCGATACGATCACCACCAGTTGCACTACCAAATAAAGTGCAGACAATTTAAAACTTGGTTTCACCTAACATGCTGTTGGCTGCAAAACGTTTTGGCTCCACTGCCAACATTAAAATGTCACCTTCAGTACTGGCAAAGAATTTACAAGTATGGCCCTGTATTTGGAGCTAGTTGCAGTCAATTCGTGAATGTCCTTCAGTTTTATAGTCGGTCATAAAGGCTACTTAATTGATCCCGCAATTTAGTTTGTTGCTTAACTATGTATAGTACTTTTAGTACTATGGCTTTTTAGTGTTAATTAGATACGTTTATTACATAAATTTGACATAGTGTTTATATTGAAAAAGAGCAAATCTGATTGAAAAAGAGTAATATTATGAAGGAATCTACACCTTGGAATAAGCAAATAGTTTCACAATATTCTTTTTTTGTTGACGTTCAAAAGTACTTTCCTGGTCTAATTGAAACAAATGATTTTGACTTTTGATTTTGACTTCCATATCTTTGAGACGAGATAGCAAAAAGCTACCAGCCTATCAGGAAAATACTGAATAAACCCTCGTGTAATTGCTCAAACCAGCAAAGCCTTCATAATACAATCGAAAAACAATAAAATTACTTTACAATTAGTAACATTTTATTACTTAAGAAACCAACATATGTCATTAAATAAAAGAAATGTCTAAATTATAATATCGAATTGAATTCCTAAACATAACTTATTTGCAATAACAAAGCTATAGAATTAAAATATTAAAGGTGCCGGTTTGAAACTGAGATCAATCAAAATATTCATTGAATAAATCTCATCTGAAATTCCAATTTGAAAGATATTAAAAAGTTATCTTTGGATATTGTGTTAGGGTGAGAATGGTTTTAATTTGTTTATAGCCCGTCAGATTTTAATAATTG